AATTATCGGTATGGCATTTGAACTATTTATACTATACTTAGTGGATGGTTTGAACTTAATCCATGAATTTAAGCCTTATTGTGTTATTTAGTGCATATACACCGAATCATGTTGTTAATTTTACAATTATTACCGAATTGTATATGAAAATTTTTGGACGACATACCCTTAGACAAAATCCTAGATTTGCCACTGCCAATAACTAAAAATGTTTGAACAGTAACTAAACAGTGTTGAACGGTGTTTTCAACAGTAACAGGAGCTAAGATGGGCGGAAATCTTACACGGTTGAGGAAGGGTCTGTTTGGACGCCGCCTATGCATGCCACACCGAAGTCGCAGCGACCCCCAAAGTTTGGTAAACAAATAGCTCACCACAGATTCAGTGTGGTTTGGCGTAAAAAATGACTTTACGCAGCGTTGATGAGTTTTAGCGACGAGTTAACTCTTGACACGAAACAAACATTTGCAAAACTGCGGCGTCTTTGTTGTGGCAAACGGTGGAGCAGTTTGGTAACAAACCAAACACGTCCATATCTATCATCTTCGACCTACAATAAATATACGAGTCCAACAAAGTTATGCATTAAGTACATATGGGTAATACATCATCAGCCCATGTAAAAAGGTACTAATGGCTAGAAGGGGGTGAATAGTCTATTAAAAATTTCTACAACAACACTGGGCCAAGTGGTTAGACAATTATGAGACGAAGCAAGTGTTGCGCTAGCCTACTAAAAGTGCAAGCCACCTATCCGCAATTCATAGTTGTTATGATCTCTAATTCACACAAGAGGCTAAGTCACTACCTCTAAGTTAATGAGCTCTCAGAGACTAACTAAAGAGCCTCACTAACTACTAATCAAGACACAAAGCTAGCTCTCAAAACTAGTTACACTAAAGAGCTTAGCAACACTAGAAAGTAAATGCAAGAAAGGTAGAAGGGTTATACCGCCGTGTCAAGTGATCAATCATAATATATCAATGAGCACCAAAGAAATCCTCGGAGACAAGATGACCCAAGATTTTTCCTCCGAGATTCACGTACTTGCCGGCAAGCTAGTCCCTGTTGTGGCTATTCACCCACTTGTAGGTTCACACGCTAATAGGCATCACACGCCTAACCCGCAATCGGGTGCCGTACAACCAACACAAAATGAGGATCACACAAGCCACACACAATCCACTAGAGTTGTCTTTGGCGCTCCGCCGAGGAAGGCACAAGAACCCCTCACAAATCACCGGGAGATGGCCAAGAACAATCACCAACTCTTACCAACACTCCTCCGCTAGTCCAAGCCGTCTAGGCGTCGGCAAACGCCAAGAGTAACAAGAAAACCGTAGCAAATCGATCTCCAAGTGCCACTAGATGCAATCACTCAAGCAAATGCACTTATAATCACTCAATCCCACTTTGATTTGCACTATCAAGCAAGGTGATGAGTGAGAGGGTGTTTGCTCAGCTCAAAGGATGCTATCACATGTAAGAATGGCCAAGAGAGTGAGCCAAACACGTCAAAGCTCTATTTATAGAGCCCCAAAAAGTTATAACCGTTATGTCCTCGGGAGGTCCGAACCTAGGCTATGGACCGTGTAACCGAACCGCTACAGTGAAGGTCCGGACCCTAGGATGTCGCTATGTGTGCACACATTCAACCGTGACCCTTAGAACCTGACATTTACTCTTTTACCGTGCTATCTGCGTGAAACCGAACCCAACCTCCGGACCCAGAACCGGACCCATTCCCTCAGGATCCGAAAGAGATTCCACAGAGGCGAAAACACTCCGGACCCTCCTCTCCAGAAACCGACGTCTCCCTCTCGCCAAACAGTGCCAGCCTCGTTCTTCTGCGCTGCAACCGGACCTCGCTCTCCGGGTCCACTCCCGCGCCCTTCCTTGGTACGCGCTGCAACAGGACCGAGAGGATGGAGTCTGGAGCCTCCGCCGCCTTGGTCCGGAAGCTTTGATCCCGCGGATCCGAAGCTGCAGGCCGCTGCGCGCTCGTCACCGCTACGCTCGCTGTCGAACCCCGCGCGACTGAGGCCGAGGCCGCGTGGCCCAACGTCGAACCCGTGAAGATGAGAAGCGGACCCGCCAAGACCTCGGTCCGCTCGGCGCTCGATGCCTCGCATGCTCGCGCAAACCGCTGCCGCGCACTCAGGCGTCGGACCCGCTAGCTCATGGTCCGGAGGTGCGCTCGCGCACGCGTGCTGCAGTCGAACCCGCTAAGCCCCGTCGGCCCGCTCTTCACCACGATCGGACCACCAGCAGGATCCGAAGACGCCAGGCACCCGCGCGGTGCCTGATGCCGAAGAGAGCAGCAGCACTTTCTCTCCTTTTCTATTTCTCTTTCACCCTTTCAACAAAGTACTAACTCCTCCAAAAAAAATGCTAAACCATATTAGTACTTAGAGTTAGCATTTTTTCAAGCAATTATCAAGTGTTAATTGTTAGCACACTAGGTGCTAATACATATGCATGAATCACTTTACCTGGTGGCACTTGACAACCGTTTTAATTGAGATTCTCCCATTTTTATAGTACGGCTATTTATCCTAAATTTACTCACACCCACTAGATGTCTTGAGTGACAAAACAAAATGGTCCTATCAAATATACCTTTGTCTTGAGCCTATTTTATTTTTCTCTTTCTTCTTTTTCAAATCCGGAGTTTGATCACCATCATCACATGTCCACCAACATCACCATGGACTTCATCTTGCTCTACTACTTGGATTGGACCATCTTATCTAGTCGCACACTTAGATGCAAGGATTAGTCCAAATAGGTTTCATCAATTATCCAAAATCAAACTATGACTTTCACCACAATGAAATATTTATGATAAATATGGTACAATAGATCAATCACATTATCATCGTGAGGTAGTATAGCAGTGGGCAAAGACGCAAAGTATAGTAAATCTCAGTGTTGGATGCTATAAATGTTCAAGCGGTTTTCCAAATTGGTCTATAGAATATTTATTTCGCGAACGTGGCCCATATAATACTATTTTACTACGTATGTTTTCTAGGCAGTTATAAATTTACTCTATAGTATGGAATATTATTTCGCGAACGTGGTCTATAGAATATCTATAGTATGGATGCACATGGAGGCATATTTGGTCCTAAGGATTTGTTTGGATGTAGTTGTATTTGCATCAATTCATATATGTTCCACCTCAATTTACCCCAACACATGCGGATTGAGGTGAATCCGATAACATCCAAACAAACCCGAAAGAAGTTCCCAACAAGACCAGCTCAACTTAGCTATTTGTATATACAGGTCAGCATGCATCCTATGTGGAGGAAACAGAATGTGCAAAAAGAAACGAAGGCCCCGTTTGGCCGGGCTACTGCGTGCTCCGGCTCCTACACTGTAGCGACACTGTAGCTGGAGCCGGAGGAGAAAAAAACGAGCTTCTCCCCCTCAGAACGGCTCTGTGAGAGAGGAAACAAAGAGAGAGAAAACCGGCTCTGATGAATAGTGTCCGCACAGGACGTGAACAGTGCGCAGCAGAAGGAGCCGGAGCTGCACCAAAGGGGCCTGAGGCAACGACTATTTCGTCACTCGTCTCGCATAAGCACAAGGCAACAAACGTTGGCCTCATCGCCCTCTATCAACTCTTCTTTTTGCATTTTCTAACACATAGTGCTCCTGCCCTCCTCCTCTGATGTTTGTTGAGCCCGTGAAATCAACGTCGGCCCCTCTCAATATCCTTCATTTTCCTGATTCCAAATCCACTTGTGGTTGTCAGTGATGAGCCGTCAAACCAAGCGATAGATGGCTCTGCCACCACATCAAGATGGACCTGCTGATCCTACTACGAGAAAATGTAGGAGAAAAAGAAAGTCCTATAGGGACAAAACATGCTAATATAAGAAACAACTAATGGTGAAGGTAGAGTCAAATACATTGACATTCAAGCTGCAACAAAAAACCGACAAGAGAACTTCTTAGAGACCCAGCAACACATTTCTAACGCGAAAGTTGGAACATCGAGGCTTGAGGGAGGTGTCTTTACTAGAATCATATCAAAAACTATTTGTATGGACGTACGATAGGGAGAAGATAGAGGAGATTAGAGCTGAGCATGTGATTGGCCTGAAGATTCTAAGGGACAAATTGGCTGGCAACAATAACTAAGGGTACTTTCACTTATTTTGTTTACTTCTATTTTGTAGTAATCTATTTCAGATTGTGAATTATCATGCAATACAATTACAATGAATCAACAAGTAGTGTAAATGCACTGTGAATTATCATGCAACACCATTACAATAAGTGGACAGCATTACCATTCCGGTGGGTGCTGAAAAACAGCGAAGTCACAAACTTTGCAAGTGTTTCAAATTTGATAACTCTAGTGTGTTATATGGACACTGAAAGCTAGTAGTAGTTCAAGATAGTTTGACGCAAGTTGGAAATCCCACATGTTAATTAGAAGCTTTCCAAAATATAAACAATACGTTGCAACTTTGTTCAAACATTTAACTGAACACGTTTCCTATACTCATATTCAGAGATCGCTTCACAAACCAGTTAAAACCGAATACTTCACATTTGGAAGGCCCAGCAGGCCCAAATACTTCTTCAAGGCCGATGGCGGATCGCGAGGTGGTCGAGCCCAGTGTGAAACAGAAAAGGGCTGGGCCGGTTAGGAGGAAAGCACCAACGAGCGCCGCGCCAACAAGTAATGACTTTACTCGGTATACAAGCATGTGAAGCAAATGTTAAATGCAATGAAAATCATCCACGAATGACAGTAATCCATACAATGCATTGCAGACCAAATTAGATACAGCATCAAAATGAAATAAGGTAGCAGTTATTCACTCCCTACACTACCACCCATCAGAGAGGCAGGCCCCAATCGGGAATTATTTGTCAGATAGAAACCACGGCACAAAGACAAAAAGAAGAGAGAGGCAAGTTTATTGCAGATTTTCACAGGTTTGTTTCATGTTCGTTTTGAAGGGGAGACATGCTCGCTTTCAGGCGTCCAACTGGAGCTTCTTGATCGTGTCGATCTGCTTTGCCGGGTTCAGGCCCTTGGGACAGGCATGCGTGCAGTTCTTGATGGTGTGGCAGCGATAGAGCTTGAACTCGTCGTTGATGGCGTCCAGGCGCTCCTTGGTGAACTGGTCACGGCTGTCCTGTATCCACCTGGAACAACGAATGGATATTTTATAGCACAAGACCCATCGTGGTATGCCAAGCATGCCCTACTTGGGCACCACAAGTTCAAAGTTCAAAAACTGAACCAAAGGGGGCAAGTACTTCAATCACTCCATTGGAGATAAATTTGAAAACGCAATCACAAAAATAAGTGAACTAGATTCTAAACATTTAATACCAGTATTTGGTTTCTACACGTAGATCTGCAGCATGTAGCATTTATAGATATGCTGTCTATCAAGGAGAACCGGTTCCTTATAATTATTAGGCAGTAAAAGTAATTACCTAAAAGGTGATATTCAAACAGCATTTTGGAGCACAAAGTTAATGCATACAAAACTATCTCTATTAACTAATTTGAGTAGTCCCAGCTTGACTCTAGGAATGTAAAATATTGCATACCAAAAAGCAATAATGTTCATTAATTACCCTAACTGCAAACAAAGTTGGCTATATATCATTTGATGAAAGTTAACTGCCATATCTTAGTTCCTATGATCTAACACAAACCTCCATGTGCACATCAAATCAAATAAATTAAACAGAGGTAAGATGAAACAGATAGCTGATGTATGAATCATACCATCAAATAAGACACTACAATAACAAATGACTCAACATATCAGCAAGGTTCGCAAATTCGCAATGCTGAACAGACATCTGAGAAGTCCAGATTCCAGAAGGTAGAATGGAAGTAGCCAAACAACCACTGAAACAAGTAAAAACACACAATACAGACAACTTATGTAGTCATGATTACCCTAAGCATACAATATTCACAATCATTCTGAGCAGCGTGATGTAAGCTTTGGAGTGAGGTGGTAACTACTTAGCAACATGAAGTACAGAGTATAGCAGATAACAGAAACAAGCGCAGCATATTCATAACCCAAGCGTAAAGATAACAGGAAAAAAAACATTTCTGCATTCAGAAACAAGTTCCGATCCTTTAACTTCATAAGTGCAGAACATCCAAAAAACACAGTACAGTACACTGATTCAGCTAAAGTACTTAAATAAAATTGGCTGCTGGTCAGAAACTTTAAAGATTGTTTCAGGGATCACACACTGAAAGATTGCATGTAAACAACCTTATTTTCCTGGACTACTGCAGAGCTAGCTCTTTTTTCTACTGGCTCGTTAACATCTACCACGATGCTTTCTTTACGCCCGTCAGTTCACCCTTGTTCGCCAATGTGCGGAACACAATACGGGACATGCGGAATTTCTTGTATACAGCGCGAGACCGGCCTGTGAAAATGCAACGGTTTCTAAGGCGTGTCATGGAGCTATTTCTTGGCAACTTGGACAACTTATAGCGGAACTTCTCCCGCATATCCAATGGAAGATCAGGGTCCCTACAGACAGCCTTATACAGCTTTCCCCTCAGCTCATATTTTTCTGCAAGCAATCTACGTTTGTGGTCCCGCAGGTTTCTCTTCTCTGACACCCCGTGATATCCTCGAGCTTGAAGGTGCATGAACATGTTGAGTTTTGGTTTGATAAGCGTCCCCCACAGCGGAAGCCTAAAAAGGGTGAACGTGTCATGGACTCAGCAACATCCTAAAACTTCGAACAAAGAAAAATTATCATATTAGGCAACTATCATTGAAGGGAAACAAGTGCAGACAAATCCACAAGAACTGGCTTTAGCATCTTAAATTCGCCTGATCATCATTGTAGTTTTACGGTGATGAAGCGAGAAACTAGCACTCTCTATACTGGAAGAGAGGTTAGCAGTTTAGCACACCACTGCCCAAAAATTTATCAGAGGAATAGATTCACCAAAACATCCACCATAAGTTAATTTAAGTTGTACGGTGTGACGTGTTTGCAACTCATAAGCTAAATGCCAGAAGAATACTAGAACCACAATGCCTTTAAAGCTGTCTAAGCGATCTTCTGTACAAATGCATTCAACACATTTCCTTCAGTAATGATACTAATATCGTCAGATCATAGTCACAGCAGCCACCCAATCATGATCATGAAACCACTTCTCATGGATGTTACTGCCACCAAGATAAACAACATAGGATCATCACATCTAAGTATCAAACGATTCATCAAGACATCAGACCAATAACCAATCTACCTGGATCACAATCATTTCCAGGCTCGCGTAGCTAAGCTATCAACAACAACAACAACAAAGCCTTTTAGTCCCAAGCAAGTTGGGGTAGGCTAGAGTTGAAACCCAACATGAGCCCCTTGTCACGGTTCAGGCACGTCAACAAAGCCTTTTAGTCCCAAGCAAGTTGGCGTAGCTAAGCTATCAAATAAATCAAACAATCTACACCCATCATTTTAATTGGCAACCTACCTGGATCACAATCAGTTCCAGACTCACGTAGCTAAGCTATCAACTACATCAAACAATCTACAGTTCTACACACATCACTTCAACTGGAAGTACTACATGATCAGGAGAGCATGACTTGCAACCGATCAATCACACATCATTCAGCAATCATCAAACAGATCCAGCACACATCACTCAGCAATCATCCATCACAGTATCAAAGGGGGTAGCGGTGGTGGTGGTATACCTGTTGGCGTGGAGCAGCGCGGCAGGGCCGAGGTACTCCTCGGGGTTCCACCAGTAGGATGGGCAGGAGGTGGAGCAGCAGGCGCAGAGGATGCACTCATACATGCCATCGAGCTTGGCGCGGTCGGCCTTGGTCTGCGGGATCTCCTTGCCCTGCTGCGGCGGCGGGTCCTTGCGCTTGAGCCACGGCTCGACGCTCTTGTACTGGCTGTAGAAGTTGGTCATGTCCACCACCAGGTCCTTGATGACGAACATGTGGGGCAGCGGCGAGACCGTGGACGCCGAGGACGCGGAGGAGATCTTGGTGAGGCAGGCAAGGCCGTTGTCGCCGTCCATGTTCATGGCGCAGCTCCCGCAGATGCCCTCGCGGCAGCTGCGGCGGAAAGGTGAGCGACGGGTCCTGCTCGTTCTTGATCTTGAGCAGCGCGTCCAGCACCATCGGCCCGCAGTCGGACAGGTCCACCTGGTAGTCCTTGAGGTGCGGCTTCGTCGACGGCGAGTCCGGGTCCCACCGGTAGATCGAGAAGGTCTTCGTGTTGGACGCGACCTTCGCCGCCGCGGCGGCGGCGGCGCGGGGATGAGGAGTGTGACTTCGACGCGACGAGGCGGGACGAGAGGGCCGGCGAGAGGAGCGCGCGCGCCGCCGGCGAGCGGCGGAGCAGGGCGGCGGCGGCCATGGATGGGTGCGGATTCCGATTTGGGGTCTCCTTCTCTCTTTTTTTTTCCCGGAGGAAAGGTTGGGGGCGCGTGGTGGGCTTGAGAACGGAAGGGTATTTATATGTGAGGTCGTTGGTGGGTGGATGACATGTGGGGTCGCGAAGGGAGCGATCGGAATGCCGGTGCTAGGGTTGGGGCGGGAGGATGACATGTGGGGCCATGAGGGGTTTGGTTTGGGCCTGGTTTTGTGGGTGGGAGCGAGGAGATGTGGACGACTCGTGGGCCGCTCGCAAGATGACAAAACAAAGTTGCTGACTTTGCTAGTGCGTTTTTAGATCACTTTGGATGGTTGTTGAATTTTTTTCCTCTTTTTCTTCACTTTCTGTTTGCGTTGATGTCATGGTTGACATAGTTTTTGGAATAGAATAGAAAAATAAACTGGAGAACTATATGAAAAATGGTTGTCAGAATGTAGTTACAATTTAATTTATGATGAAAGAAAAAATCGCTTATTTTAATTAGGTTTCGTATGGTGGGAGCAATGTGTTTGGTTAGGCTGTGAGCGGTGGAGAAACTATTTGCGAGCTGTGAAAAAACTATTAAGAGCTATGAAAAAAATCTAAAAGCCCTTTGGTTGTAATAGCTGTATAACGCTCCTAAAGGTCTGAGAGACTGATTATATGCTAATTGATCGTAAGACACTAATCTATTCAGTTATTCGCATATAAATAAATATTTTGAAAGGGGAAAGATTTTTTTTAATATATTGCATCCTCTGTAGACATATGGTCCATATAAATAGATTGCTAGATTAGTACAAACGACATATAGTTCATATAATGACGTCTAGCTATCTTAGGGCGAATGGTATTCATAGTATCCTCATCAGTCATCTCCTTATGTTTGTGCTGCCGCACATGGCCCTTGTGGTAGATACTCCTCTTCCACATCTCACATCTATCAAACTTCTTATCATGCAACTTGCTATCACGAATAAAATTGTGCAATGTCATGCAAGCAAGAATGATATTAGAGAAACTTGACATAGCCATCAATATACGCCACTTTTGCTTTAGAACTCCAAAAGCATGCTCAATAACATTCCGAGGGAACGAATGTAAAAAATTGAACATCTCGTACTTCACTTGAGGTGGACGCCCACACCGAAGCCGAAATTATGGTATATGATATGTGCTTCCTTCTTTAAAAGAGGCAAGATATCATATTCGGTTTGCATAGCCAGAGTCAACGAGATAATATTTTCCTAAAAATACAATTCAATATAAGCAACTAATAATGATATTATTTGGTAACTTAGTAAAAACATATTTACCTTTAGGAGACACGAGAAACGAAGGAAAATTTGCTAATGCATGATCCATATGCCGAGCCAGCCAACCAGCAATCACAAAAATAAACCTCATGTCAAAGTCACATATAGCAAGCGCATTCTGAGATTTATATCTATGTCTGACATGTATGGTTAACAACATCGTCTGCAAACAAGCGAACCGTCTATAGCTTTTTTTCGCAAACATGCTTAGTATGTATTTCATTACAACAATAACAACAACAACAACAACAACAACAACAACAAAGCATGTCAGTCCCAAGCAAGTTGGAGTAGGTTAGAGTTGAAACCCATCAAGAGCCCCCAGTCACGGTTCAGGCACTTCAATAACTGATTTTCAAGCACTCCTATTCAAACATAGATCTCTAGATATATCCCAAACTTTCAAATCTCTTTTTATTGCCTCCTCATGTCAATTTCGGTCTACCTCTCCCCCTCCTCACATTATTAGTTTGGCTTAGGACTCCACAATGCATGTATTTCATTAAGAGGGTAGAAATAGTACAAGACGGTGATTGCACTTGAGCGAGATGCCCACGGCATCCAGTGCCAACACAACTAGAGAAGAACACATAGCTACACCTGGCCCTCTTGGCTTCCTATTACATTGGTCCTGTTGTGCGACTAGGTAGCTGCTACATCTTAACTGGGCATGCGTGCCAGCCAAGACAAGATTGATCAGAATCCTTCTGACACCCAGCAGTTCCCTCTTCCATGATTTCTACTGCTAACTCTCAAGCTGTTGATTGTTCTTGACGAAAGACCCTTCGGTTCCTTTCCTTCTATACTGACCAGACGATCAGTAAGGCGACAGCATGAATCGTCACCTCAGCTCTGACTGAAATTGCTGCCTGGTGCCAAACCATCTATAGCTCCAATCGTGCCATTGAAATAAGGCCAGAAACGGTCCTCTTTAACCTTCTCAACACAAGAAAATATTTTAGATGAGGTTCATCATCTCCTTCTCGTGCTCCCTCTCAAGCAAATCGGACCTCTCTTCATTAGTTTCAAGCAAGCTAAACACCTCCCTAAATTTAGGCTTCACAATTAAGGACGTCGATGTGTGCATCAAAGCAGTTTTTTCTTGCACACCACAACCTTTCACCATCTTCATGGCCTCTGCAATGCTAGGGACCAAAATCTCCTTCTCGTGCTCCCTCTCAAGCAAATCTGACCTCTCTTCATTAGTTTCAAGCAAGCTAAACACCTCCCTAAATTTAGGCTTCACAATTAAGGACGATGTGTGCATCAAAGCAGTTTTTCTTGCACACCACAACCTTTCACCATCTTCATGGCCTCTGCAATGCTAGGGACCAAAATCTCCTTCTCATGCTCCCTCTCAAGCAAATCGAACCTCCCTTCATTAGTTTCAAGCAAGCTAAACACCTCCCTAAATTTAGGCTTCACAATTAAGGACGTCGATGTGTGCATCAAAGCAGTTTTTTCTTGCACACCACAACCTTTCACCATCTTCATGGCCTCTGCAATGCTAGGGACCAAAATCTCCTTCTCGTGCTCCCTCTCAAGCAAATCTGACCTCTCTTCATTAGTTTCAAGCAAGCTAAACACCTCCCTAAATTTAGGCTTCACAATTAAGGACGATGTGTGCATCAAAGCAGTTTTTCTTGCACACCACAACCTTTCACCATCTTCATGGCCTCTGCAATGCTAGGGACCAAAATCTCCTTCTCATGCTCCCTCTCAAGCAAATCGAACCTCCCTTCATTAGTTTCAAGCAAGCTAAACACCTCCCTAAATTCAGGCTTCACAATCAAGGACATGGATGTGTGCATCAAAGCAGTTTTTTCTTGCACACCACAACCTTTCACCATCTTCATGGCCTCTGCAATGCTAGGGACCAGATTGGTTGGAGGAGCCGATGATGCTTCAAAACTTGTGGTGATCTTCTCTGCTGCAGATTGGATCTTCAGACATGTATTTCTGAACAATCGAAAGAATGGGCTATTCTCATCCTTCTCTTCAGTAGCACTTGAGGAGTACTTGCGTTTCTTCTTTCTTGGTTTTGCCCTTTTGAATGCAGCTAACTTGATATCCTCAGCATCTGAAGTTTTTGGCACTTCAGTCACATCATCATCATTACTTGATTCACCCAATGATATGTCCCCAGGACAAATTGCAGTAGTCCCACTAACATGAATCTTGAACATAATATGCAAATCATCAAGGTGCTTTGGTCCATGTTTTTGGAACCTCATATGATTGCACTTGATACCCTTCTCAGTATTGTTGCATCTCTGAAATTAAATTTAAAAAGTTAGCAAGTGCAACCATATGGAGTCATGATCATTGAGTAAAGAAAAATGTAGTGCAAAACTTACAGCAAGGTGTTCATCCCACCATTCTTTAGAGCAGTCAACAGTTTGCTTTGCATCATCCCATCCAAGTCCAGTGGCAGCATTTTTCAACTCCATAAACCATGTATATTCCTTTCTCATATTATTCCACTTGTTCTTCAATTGTTTCTTTGTTAGTCTCTTACCAGTTTTTTCCTCAAATTTGTCTACAAGGTTTTCCAACCGGCTCTATTGAACCCAGCCTCGATCTCTCCTTTGCAAATATCAATGAAATGCCTCAAATTGGTATCACTCCAATCCGCTCTCTCTGCCATGCTTGAATCAAGCAAAATAGTTATCACAACAACAATGTGTTAAAAAAATTTATCCCACTGATCACAGAATCAAAAAAATTAATAGGAATACAAGTGCTGTCAGATTGGATATGTGATCATTCACAAATTCTGTCAGGTTGGCCACTGATCACAGCATCAAAAAATTAATAGGAATACAAGTGCTGTCAGGTTGCCTCTGTGCTTTGACCATTCACAAATGCTGTCAGTGAGTACCTGGAGGTGTCCAGCCGTCAAAACAACGTGTCCGGGGAGGAGGACGAGAGGGCAGAGAGGGACGCTGGAGACTGGAGAGGACTCCGACGAGCGGCGGCGCACAGCCGGGCTGGATGCGGCCGCGGCCGTCGATTGTTCGGGGAGGAGAGGGCGGAGAGGGCCACAGGAGAGGAACCTGCTGCCGGGAGGAACTCGCCGCCGGAAATGGTGCGCCGCCGCCGCCGCCGCCGCCCGCACCCTAGTGCTCCTGTCGCAGTCGCGAACGAGGTACGGAACACAGGAGCAGAGAGGTACGCTCTTTACCGGTGTAATTTTGAGAAGTTGAAATCCGCAGCCTTTCTAGGGTGCTAGATGCTCTAAAATTGTACTATAGGAAGAAAAAAACAGTTTTCTTCTCTATACAGGTTGCACCCTTTTAGTTAGCTTTTAGCGTTTTTTTAGCAAAAACATTTTTAAAAAGTCTAACCAAACATACTCTTAACTATACTTGCATTCTTGGTTATTTTTTTTCCATGATAGGTAAATCGCATGCTCTTATTAGCAAGGTGTCTATGGTGACTTAGTCTTAAGATCTTGCTTTCATATTCTACGCTTCTTATTCTGTTTCAAGGGAAAAAGACGAGGATTGTATGGGTGAACCATTTTTTTTAGATTTTCAGGTCATGTTGGATAGTTATTGATTTTTTTTCTTGTTCGTTACTTACTTTTTTGTTGGCGTTGTGGTCGACATATTTAGGATTAAAAAAATAATTTAAAACATTATATGGACAAATGAGCTATCAAGAGGTAATTAGAATTTAATTAACTGCTGATGGAAGGAACAAAAATGAACCCGATTAGTTAGGTTTGTGATGCATAACACTTAGCAGCTTAATAAACACTTGTACACGAGAAAGTTTCAAAAAAAAAACACTTGTAGAAGAGAAAGAGAAACATCAGATCACGGGTGCCATTCGCAGGTAAGCCTTCGGATTCAATTCAAACAAGGCAGTGCCTACTCGGCTACTCCCACGGTCCCACGGCCCACGGTCCTTCACCCCCAGGAAGCTCTGCACGTCACCCGCAGGAAGCTCTGCGCTTCTTCAGCCACGCGCGCCACCACCAGCCCCTGCCTGATGAGTGATGATGACACATTTGCCTTCGCGTTCGTGCTCAAGGCTTGCGCACATCTGGGGTGGCCTCGAGCCGGTGCGCACCTCCATTGGCTTGTGGTACGCAAGGGGTTCGAGTTCCAGGCCTACGTACAAGCCGCTCTCGGCGATGTGTATGACGTCTTTAGACGCTTGGTGGAAGCACGGAAAGTGTTCGATGAAATGCCGGTAAAGAATGTGGACATGTGGTTTCATGGAATGTGATGATCACTGGCTTCGCCGGATGGGTGAGGTTGGCTATGCAAGGCTTCTGTTTGACCAGATGCCCTGCAGCAATGTTGCCTCATGGACCAGGCTGATTGATAGGTGTACGGCGTGCCTGCCTTTATGCGGAGGCTGTTGGCTGTTTCTCTTTTCTGCCAGATGATGGCAGGGGGCATTAGCCCGAGTGAGATAACTGTTTTAGTAGTTATCATGCCAGATGATGGACCAGGCTTGGCTATTGTTAGAAGAAGGGTATCATGTCAGATGTCTTCGTTGGGAATTCGCTCATAGACTTGTTTGCTAAGATTGGCTCCGGTGCAGAACTCGCTAAAGGTGTCTGATGAAATGCTGGATAGAAAAACCTAGTGCCATGGACACCATAATTTCTGGTTTTGCAATGCATGGGTTGTCAGTTGAGGCACTTGAGCTGTTTGCAGGGATTAGGCCCAGCCCAACAGAGTCGCCTTCTTGAGTGTCATTGATGCTTGCACTCATGGGGGGCTGATAGAGCAAGGGTTAGCGTTTTTTAAAAGCATGATCTTTTAGTACGGTATAGATCCAGGGGTCGAGCATTTTGTTGGCATCATAGATATGCTTGGTAGGGCTGGACGGTTGTGTGAGGCCAAGCAATGGGTTCCGTATACAGGTTAATGCAGTTGTATGGAGGATACTGTTGGGTGTTTGCAGTAACTATGGAGAAGTTGAGATGGGGGAGAGGGCTATAAAGAAGATACTAGACTTAGAAAGAGAATGCGGAGGTGATTTTGCAGTGCTGTCCAATATGGTAGGTTCAGTGATGCTGAACAAGCACGGAAGCTACTGAATGAGAGGAAAAGGAAAACTATTAAGGTTCCTAGGGTTGCTTTGGTTGGTGAGATTCAGTAGTTGTCAATTGTTCAGTCTGATGAGAGGAAGAAGCGCTCTCAAATTTTCTTGCAACCTTACCACTTTAAGTATCTGCCTGTAGTATACCAACTTCAATAATTCTCCTGATAATTTGCCCTTTTTATCTTCCATGTAAAGAAACAAAATTAAATTTTATTGTTTTCTGGCTGCTAAATAGGTTGTCATAAATGATATGCCTGCAATCCCATATTTGTTAACTCAGCGCTATCATTGTGCCATCTCACTTCGTTTTCTTTGTGTCCTCATAATAAGCCTCAAAGGCATGCTGCATTTGTTCACTTGTTTCCACCTCCAAAATGACTGCTTCACCCCAAGTACAGCTGTTTGTTAGACCATTTACCTATCTTACATTTCCTTGCAGGAAGCAGGTGAAGTGAACGTAATGTCTAATTCTTTCTCCTCTTTCACTAGATCGTCTTGTAATGATGGAAGCTGTAAAGAAGCTCCATGCACTTTCTGGCCTGCACATCTGTCAATATGCAATGTCCAAGGTTATCAGATCTTATGCTTTTCAGTAATCAGATTTGGTTTTTACTCATAAAATATTTGAGCAGATAGAATTACCAACAACTTTTCTTTACTCTACTCAGAGGCCTTGCTCAGAGTGATGCACCAAAAGGTGCCACAGACAACTTGACATTTCTTTCGCATCGAAATTTTTTGCAAAAACTTATGCTCACAAGGAAGGTGAACAGATGCACAACCATGTTATAAAACTTGGATTTCTTCTGGACATCTTTGTTTCCAATTCGCTGATTCATTTATATGTTGCTTGTGGTGATCTGGTCTGTGCAAGATCTGTCTTTAATGATACGCTAGTTAAGGATGTCGTGTCCTGGAATTCCTTGACTGATGCACAACTGTAGCGGCGACCAAAGAGGGTTGATTGATTGCTGACCTTAACTATTCAAAAGATTTGAGGTCTTCATGATGAGTTAGTATCCCTCTGAATGTATTTATTTTAGTAGCTCGCATCATGTAATGCTTTAGATATTAGAAATTATGTTGCTATACTTTCTGAGTTTTTAGTTATGCTAATTTGTAAATATACATTGCAGTGGATTCTATTGTTATTTGTAGGTTTTTTCGTAATTAAATTTTTAGGTTGAGGGAAATACAAGGAAAAACGTTCAAGAAAAAATAGTTTTGCCTATGAATCTATGATGTTTACTGTAAGCTTTTGTCATTGCTATGTTGCACATATGATGGTTAGATGATGTTGCCTGCATGGGTAATCATCATTTTAGTGTGAGAACAAACCTTCTACGCACTATGAGATAGGTTGACGATATAGTAGTTTTTTTTTTCGAACACACGCAGAAGATGATTTAGTAGTTCATTCGTCATTGCCTTCTGTGCTTTTGTCTTCGCTAATTCTTTTTTTTTCTTTCACGTTGAATCCTAGACTAGAAAGGACAGTATTTAGATGTGGAGATCAATTATCATTCACATTGTCTACAGAAAAACATTTACATGACTAAATTGTGTCCTTGCAGCTGGGATAAAACATGTAGTTTGTAGCCACTGAATGACATCAACATCGAGCTATATATAGAAACCTTGTTCATTTGCTTAATTAACTAGCGCAGTACCTGACTACCTTCTGCATAACTGTACAGCATATATAAGTTGTGTATGTTTGTTGGGGCTGCTCACTGCTGGGATATGGTATGTCTTCAGGCAAAAACACAACTGCACGGTTAGCATCAGCGACAGTAACTGTCGTTGGATTGAGGATGCTTGTGCTCAGCATGGACACTCCATGTCAGCTGCTTCAAAAGTTGACATCAAGAACTGGCCGGTTCTTTGCTGCATTTGCCTTTTTGTATTCATGCGTTTTTGGATGGTTAAGTGCCATTGTTTACTGCATTGCAAGTTCTTACTCCTTTCTATTTTGCTTTCACTTGGTATCTACCTCTTCTATTCTGTAACCTTTTCTACATCCATCCTATCCCAGGCCTCTAATCTCTCCACCATTCTTCACTGTATGCTTGTGTGCTTTCCTATCTTTCTGCTACAGTATATGCATTATCCAAAAGAACAAATAATTCAAGGTCCAGGTGGGTCAGGGTCTGGGACTATACCCAGTGCAAACTATTTCTGTTACGAATCTTTGGGCCGCTTTGCTCTCTTGCATTTATGTTGTCATTTGACCAAGCAAATGGCGTGAACAGAATCTTTAATATCTATGTGCCAACACTCTTAGACAGTTAGATGTGATACTCTACCAATTTTCCATACTAAGTTTTGTACTAATTCATCACCACACATATAAGACTGCACCCCATATAGAGTGCCACTGCATGGAGACAGTTTACAGTTCTCTGCAGTG